ATTGACAGGTCGGAGGAGCCGAAGAGGAGTCACCGTTTTTATTGAAATGTACCCAAAAAATTGGGGGGGGGGGGAAGGAGGAGGGGGAGAGGCACCCATGGGGGCTGGGAGGGGGCGGGACCCTGCGGGGGGGGCGGGAAATGGGTCCCAGTGGGGCAGGAATGGGCTCCCAGTAGGAGTTATGGGGCAGGAACTGGTTCCCAGTGGGTCTGTGGGGCACAAAGTGGTTCCCAGTGGGAGTTATGGGGCAGGAACTGGTTCCCAGTGGGTGTGTGGGGCAGGAACGGGTCCCAGTGGGTGTGTGGGGCAGGACCAGTCCCCCCCAAAGCCCCTCGGCCCCGCCGGGGGATCCTCGGGGGACGGGGGGGGCTCAACGTCCGACACGGCCCAGGGAGCTGGGGGAGGAAAGAGGGAGAAAATCACCCAAAACCGGCCAAAGCTGGGTGAAAACGGCCAGATTTGGGTGAAATGAAGGAAAATCAGATGTAAAAATTAGGCCAAAACTGGCGAGGTTGGGGGTAAAATGTAGGAAAATGAGGTGGAAAATGAGGGCAGAAATGGCCAGATGGGGGTGAAATGAAGGAAAACGAGACCAAAACTGGGCAAATTTGGGGTGAAATGAAGGAAAATCAAGCCAAAAAATCCGGGTGACGTGACACAAAAAAAAAAAAAAAAGGCCAAACTGAGGTAAAACGAGGCCTAAACCGTCCAAATTCGGTGCCCACCTGGCGCGGCGCTGGGGGGGCTCCGGGCGCGCCTCGGGGGGGTCCCGGCGCAGCAGGAAGGGCCGGAGGCTCCCCCGAACCGGGGACCCCCCCGAGACCCCCCCCCGGGGGGCCAGGGACAGGTTGAAGGGCCAGGGAGGCTCCGCCTCCTCGCGCAGGACTGCGGGCGATTGGCCGGGAGTCAGGGGGGACACGCCCACTGGGACACGCCCTGTTTGACCACGCCCCCCTTGACCATGCCCTATCAGCCCCCACCTCCACCCACCCACCCAATCCCAGCTTGAAGGGGATTGGCTGAGAGGGGACACGCCCACCCCTCAGTAACCATGCCCCATCAGGCCACACCCCCTCAGAATCCCCCCACCCCCCAAATCCCAGCTTGAAGGGGATTGGCTGAGAGTCTGGTGGGGGGATACACCCACTGGGCCACACCCACTCTGACCACACCCCATTTAGCCCC